ATCCATATGAAAAGACACATCTTTTCATCTACATTCTCTAGAATATTCCACAATATTCTACACAATTCCAATAATTTCAAGTATTAAGTGGTTTAAGTTTGGCTTAATTTCTCATTCACCAAACAAGGAATTTCCACTTAAATCATTTCAATTGGTCACAACCAATTTCCAATACAAAATTCCAACAGTTGGAACAATCATGTACAATTCTGCAAAAAATGTGGTTGGTTTTCCTAAGATTGGGTGATTGGTACTTCTTTTCAAAGTAGGAGACATTATAACCAAATTTCTTGATACTTCACCAATTGTGGTTATCTGGGCATGATTCATTCTATCAATGAACTACAAATTGAGTCTAGTTATTGAAGTGGACCACTGATCACTCTCCAATTGATTATTCTCTGAAAGCAAATTTTTATCACGTTTTTAGTAAGGTGGACCAAATAATGAATGAAAGAAAAATAAATTAAAATTTTGTTAATTATGTGTACTAGATATATGTTCTTGTTGTTTAGACTTCAAATCGAATAGACAATTTGAAGGGACGCATGCATTTTCTAGTTGCAGGGCCCACATTGCCATCACACTCTCATTAATGACGTGCTAACTACTATGTGTCAAGAGGCCTTGTCGGCTCTCTAGTTAGAAGTGATCGCATCGCCATTACATTTTCAAGTCTATAGTCTCGTAAATGATAAGATATCTAGATGCGTCAAGAGGTTGTGCCAGCTAACGAGTCGGCATAACTTTGAGGTTGTTCGTGCATAGCTATGCTCCCACACGATCCCTTTTATGGAGCTGGCGCACACGCTTTAAATTATCTAAGATCAACAAAGTTCAGGTAATAGGATTTACGTGTAATATTATTTTATTAAAGAAAGTATGATAGAAAATGAGTTTTAAAAAAATGAATTTACGTTTGTTTCTCATTCTTTAAAGTTCATTTTCGATTACAAATTCTTTTACATATAAATTCGAAATTTCCTATTTTCTAACAATACAATCTCCAATCATTTTTTACAAAATCTATATATTTTTTTTTTTTTCAAATGAAGCTCAAATAGTGACTAAGTGTCCAATCTGCTATGCATTCACTCAAGAAAAGGTAAAAAATCAGAGAATATATTGAAAAAAAGTCTGACAAAAACATGAATTATTTTCAAAAAGGCAACTCTAGTGGGCTCTTCATCTTCTTCACGATGGTGCAGACTGGAAAAATTACCCATGAGACTTTTCACTTTTGTGTCAATTAATCTTTGGAGGCCACATGCAATCCAATAATTTTATAGTATCATCGACAAGAAAACAAAAAGTCAACTAAGGTTTCAGAAATCCTTTCTGGCACTCAAATAAGAGTAGGAAAAGGGATGAAAGTCAATTGAGAATCATCCACTTGGTCTTTGTGAGATTAGTGTTGGAATTGATTAGTATAAAACCATGAAAAGGTGACTTTCATGTCGATTTCGATCAAATATTCGAACTTGATTCGATAGTCAAATTATGAAAATAAATAAACTAACTTATTTTACTTGTCGAGTAGATTGTCTTATATATTTGAAATCTCCCAATCAATTCCAGGTGAATGAGAAATACGATCTAAAATTGGAAGAAAATAGAGGAAACTGACAGTAAATTTGTTCCAACTCCGTCACTTGCATAGCGCTCGAGAGATGTAAGGGCGAAATGCTAGACATGCTAGCTACAGCAAAAACTGCGACCCTTGGCAAATGTTGCTAAATTTGGGACGTGATACTTCACTCACAACATTTTATTCTCTATAAATTAAACCATTGAGACGTTAATTTGTTTATCACAATAATATACAATCATATCATAACATTGAATTCATATTTTCCTAGCCTAGATTTTACATAAAAAAGTTGTTTTTTTTTTATTTTCATAAAGAGTACAAAATCCAATTTTTGATTCGTTGTTTTTGTGTTTGAAATGTTACTAATACAAGAAAATTGTCTTTGTATTTTGGGAGTTGATTGTCATTATCCGTGGGCACGGTTGTAGGGCAAATTCGATTTAAGGATAAAGAGTTCAATGATTGTCTCGACTTTGCATAAATTTTGATTTTGGTTTTATTTTGTCATTCTTTTTCTTGGTGTTTTCACTCATATCCTTACCGTTACTCTATCAAATCTTTGGTACAGTCGGTAAGTTGATTTTTTAGTTTAAAGTCATCACTCAAATCAACTATATTATCCTACAATTAGAACATCTAGCACAATAGGAAAAAGGGAAAGGTTGATTACAAATAATTTAAAACGTTTAAATATAATTTGTAATTCATTCAAAATTATGTGATGAAACAAGGAAAGATAGATATATGGTTGTCCCTTTTGAAGCATCGATGTATCATGAACGCATACTAGAGGTCTAAAATGGGCTGTACCAAGGCATGTTGAGTTTGATCTCCAGGCCTTGGGAACGATCAGGTAGCATATACGATGACTTTCTATTTTATTTTTAATTTATATTTTTTGGTAAGTAATAAAAGAGAAACAATGCCGCTAAAATATAAATTTAAGTTGTTATGACTTACGAACCTCTTATTTTAGCATGATGAGAAATAAATGTTCGTTAACTGGAGATGATTTCATTTAACGGGAGAACACAAAGTGAAAAACATAAGGGTGCGTTTGATTGTTAATATTTTTCATGAAAAATGTGTATTTTTCACCTAATTTCCTACTTTTGTATTATTTGATTGACAATTTTTTCCACGAAAAATTGATTACGTGACTATATTTTCTTTGAAAATATTTTTCTTCAGAGAAATGTAGTTTTTATTTTCCAAATAATTCGCATGACTATAAGTTGAATGCTAAGAAGTTCCAAGTGATTTTGGCAGGGGGGATGGGGTTGGAAGGGCTTGGATTTGTACACTGTTCCTTTTTTCTTGTCAAATCAAAACTTTAAAAAAAAAAGGGTGTTCCATTGCCGGGAATCGAACCCGGGTCTCCTGGGTGAAAGCCAGATATCCTAACCGCTGGACGACAATGGACTCATTGCTTTTCGTTTTTATACATATTATATTTAAAAATTAAGTTCGGACAAAAGCTCTTCAGGCTAAGGCTACTTTATGTCATATTTCTCTAAAAGCACTTCTAGTTAAAAAAAAAACACTAGTAAGAAATTATCCAAACATATTCAGAAATAATTTCTTAATTTCAAAAAGAGCTTTTGAATTTTTAAAAATCCTACCAAATGGATTCTTAATTATTTAATATGATTTTGGTGAAACTAATTGGACACATTCACAAGAAATTATGGAATGCATTTTTTCTTTCAAATGTTTTATCACCTTTTTTCGGCTATAAATTACTTTTTAATAATTGTGCCCAGATGGGAGTAGTTAGAGAACCAATAATGCTAATGGAACTTGAGGATTTAATCCATGTGGCCGGACTTTGATATTTAGTCCATGTTTGGTAGGGATTAAAATTAGATTTTTAACAGGTTTCGATAAAATATGTAGTTAAAAGGTTGTGGATCACGTACACGAAAAATGTTGTGTAATTTGACTTCCTTTAAAAACACTTTTGAATTAGTAAACTCTTCTAATAATTAGTTTTCAAGCGAAAATTAAGCTCCTGTTTGATAATCATTTTGACCAAAAATGAGAATAAAATTTATGACCGTTATATCTCTTTGTGGGACTTAGTTGTACATCAACTTTTGACTTGACGGAAGGCTTTTTATGAAATTACCATCATTTCTTTCATAAAGAATTTTAATTGAAAGCGCAAATTGATTACTTAACCAAATTCAATGAAAAAAAAATCGGCTCCTTATCTGACAATTACATTGTATAACGATCTGAATTCATCTAAAAATGAGAACCAAACAAGCACTAAAGTAGCTTACTTAAAA